CAAATCTGTGGTTCACTCTTCAGAGACCATTGGAACTTTGGTGTAGAAAGAAAGAGTTGAAATATAAAACATAGATTATGATAAAGCACAATTTGGATTATAGATGAACTCCGCCCTTGCCGGTCCCAAGCCCGGATGAAAAAGGAGGAGGGGGAGCAGTAACAAGCTCACTAAAAAACCTGGGTTCAGCTGGCTCGGCTGATAGTACCCTGTTAGGGCTCCTAATCCAGGGATACAGGATGAGCAGCATTTGTACTCCATGTTAGGAGCGGCTGCAATGGCGTCTGTTCCTCATGTCAGAGGCGGCCATTTATTTTGGAGCTAAGTCGGCCTGCCACTGAGTAGTGCTCCCAGTCTTAATGACAAAGGCAGACGAATTCTACTTCGCCCAGTGTGGAGATAAGAAAGAAGAAGAGGATTATAGATTATAATACAAGACGATAAGGCACACTGCTGTGGTAAAATTTCTCATTCAGTACTTTTGTCTGTAGATGGTAACAATGCTGTTACCGAAATGTCACACACTATTTATTTATTTGGATTTGGTCTTATTACCTTAAGAAAATAAGACCTAAACCAATATTATATTAAATTATTTGGATTAGGTCTTATTTTCACATAGATTACTTTTACTTTCATTCACTTATTTACTTATTTTCACAAAGATTACTTTTACATCACACATAGATTACTTTTACTTTTTATATAATCTTTTTTTTTGGCAGATACATTGATATATCCACATCTAAGCTATTATGGCATAATAAAGGCTTTTGCTACAAGGTATTAAGAGCAAATCCAAATAAATAAATAGCGAGTGACGTTTCTGAAAAGTTCTAATCTATAATTTAAATTGTACCTTATCAAAAGCTTTTGTGTATGTGTAGCTAAATTCACCTAAACACTAGCCATTTGAGTTAGTACTGGGATACCATTGGAATACTGCAAAGTGCACATCTCTTAGAAGTTGAGTCTAATGCTGCACCAACATCAACTGAACTAGCTGGGAGCCCCTGTACCAAATGAGTGCCCTGCACTTCTGATATATTAAAAATTAATAATAATAATAAAGGGAAATGTATATATTTGCTTATTACTATTCAGATGCACATTATTGACTGTATTGACTCATTCATTGATGAGCTCTACTCATCCCTAGCAGACACCATCAAAGTCTCAAGCTTTACAAGCTTGATAGCCTACCTAATATGATGCTTATCATAAAACAGCTCGAGGAGCATGAACTCATGGAATTCGTGTAATCTTTACACAAGGGGATAAGAAACAACAACAACAACAATATGATTGAGTGGAGATAAGAAAGAAGAAGACTATTCAGATCATAGAAAAGGTCACAAAACAACTAGATATAGGAAAAAGTCAACAACCTATATATGGTATGAATACAAATACAGTAGAACTATCTCTCTGTAAAGGACACAAAACCTAGTTGTAGAGCCAAAGTGTCACTTAAAGAAAGAGGTGTCTCATAGTGGAGAGTAAATGTTCCAAAATCACTTTATTAGGTACCGTTCAAAAAGAGCAACCTAGTTTATGATATTTACAACAATGAATAATATATGAAGGTTATTTACATATTAAAACAAAGTATCCAATACGGGATTAGATCCGGTTCATGGCTGTTTGGGAATGGAGGGTTTTAACCACTCATCTACCGACGGAGAATAAATAATTAGTTTAAATGGTCATTTTGGCCATGAAAACTGTCCTTGGTAAGAGAGGTATCCTTTAGCTAGAATGTCCTCTCTCATGGAGGCTCTACCAATTCCAAATAATAAGACTATACCACAGTTATAACAACATATTGTTCCAGCAGGTAACAACTATATATATATATACAAGCAGATATATAATTATGAATATTCGAAACTTATAGATGCATATGATTCTTTTGTAAAGTAAACAATTTCTACTGTCCTTACTGTAATGGAAAATTTAAAGGAAGGGCTAGTAGGGCTATAAGTAAGGACAGTAGAAATTGTTTAATTTTCAAAAGAATCATACGTGTCTATAATAGTTTCGTATTTTCATAACAGATGGCGTGCCATGCATCATAATATATAATTATAATCAGCCATTGTGGAGGTGGATCTTGACCCCAGACCAGCGTTACACCAAAGTCCTACAGTAGCTGCCACCTAGTACAGTAGTTCTACCAAGAGTATGGAAGGAAGAGTAGTACTGAAGTTAGAACATGGAAGGTATACGCACCAGTGAAGGGATCACAACCAGTGTTGGGTGCCGTTGTCGTGGGGGCAATAACCGGAGCCGCTGCAGTGCCCTTGGTATTCTGGACGATAAAGTTGGCAATCTGGTCCAGGAAGAGCTGGCTGAGGTTATGTTTGTGGATAAAGTTCTGGGCCGTCACCCAAGGATCTTCCCCGACATTGTAAGGCAACTTGAGAGGTTTGGGGGCTTCCACGTCCACAGTGAATACGTAGTCGTATTCTTTGCCCTCGAACCACACCTTGTTCTCCCCACCTCCCACCACGGGCTTCTCCCCCTTCTCCCCGCCCACCACGTCTCCCACCTTCATCCACCTCTTGTCTGCAGCCACCCAGTTGTGGACAGTCACTTTGTCACCATCTCTGATTATCAGGGTCTGGCCGTCCCTAGTTCCTGGAAACAACAACCTTGATACAGTCATGTTGATATGGAAATTGTGCTTATATATATATTAGGAAATAAGATTTTTATGATGATTTTGATTATCTTGAGGATTAAAAGCTATCAAATTATTTGCTGGTTCTTTATAGTACTAAATGGTATTGGTAATTCAGCCGTGGCAAAAATCTTGAAAGTATAATAAATAAAATCGTTTGGATCAGAAAATACTTTGAGTTAAAGGAATATATAAAAAACAGAATTATCAAATTCTGTTTTTTATATATTCTTTTAACTCAAAGTAATTTCTGATCAAAACGATTTTGATATGAACGAATTTGATAAAACAAGAACTGGAGGATCCCACCTAAGCACAGTTGGTACAGTGGAGTGAACCCTGGAGGAGCTCTGAACCTCAGACAGCATCAAACAACACTGACAAGATTTAGAACAGGTCATCTCAAGCCATTGAAGATAGAAAATAATAACTTGATTATTAATAACAAAATATAGCTTGGCACCTGCAGCTCCAGAACACATTTTGGCTTGCATTAGATGCACTAAACAGGACCTTTGGGAGAGGCCGCTGCTTATCATAAAACAGCTCGAGGAGCATGAACTCATGGAATTCGTGTAATCTTTACACAAGGGGATAAGAAACAACAATAACAGAATTTGATAAAGTACTGCCTGGCGTAAGAATAAAAAAAACGAAAAACTTATTTACATAATTTTAAAAAATACCTGAGCCGGCCACCGGAAGCAACAACAATAAGTTTTTATAGGGAAAATGCGACCTCTGGTGGTCAATTTAACAGAGTATTTTTTTCTATAAATTTTAATTTTAAAATGAAATAATATTTTTCTTCACATTAATGGACTAGTTATACTAGAAGTTTACTTACATTTATCTTATTTATAATACAATATAATGCGGCTATAATTATAGAACGCCGTTTAAACAAGTTTTACCGCAAATGTTTCTTTTTACAGAGAGGGAAAAATTGTAATTTTAATTACTTAAGGAGAAATAACGACTATTCCTATCTTTAGGGATGAAATATGAAATGATGAATTGTGAAGAGTAATGATGAATGGAAAAATAAATAAGAAGCTCCTTCGTAAAACTTGTGATTCGTTGTACAATTGTATCAATTATACGGAGTTTACCTGTAGAAAAGAAAAATAAAAGTGTTCAGGGATGGGAATATATATCCTATTTGCATATCTAGTTATTTCCATAGAGGGAGATTGATTATTGACTATAGATTTACATTAGGCTATCAATTCTTCTTTACAGAGGCAAAAAAATAGTATGTAAAGATATTTTTATTTTTAAGGGAGATATCTGCACTCTTGGTTCATAAAATTATGTGCAAAAAGGACCTTTTCCCTTTTTTGCGCATGAATATATAATTGCAACAAAGTTGCAGGTGGATGGTATTCATGTATGAAATGAGGCACCTCTCCCTTTGAAAACAGGCGTTCTGGGTCATAATCACCATCATTATATTTTGTTGTTGTTGTTGTTTCTTATCCCCTTGTGTAAAGATTACACGAATTCCATGAGTTCATGCTCCTCGAGCTGTTTTATGATGAGCAGCGGCCTCTCCCAAAGGTCCTGTTTAGTGCATATTATATTTTGTACTGAAGTGATAAAAATTTAATACATTGTTTTGATGCATTTTAAAAGGGTGAAGTTCCTCTTTTGGTACACACACATATATATACATCTAATAATAATAAAGCATAACCTATGGATTTGCACTATATATATACCTCAACATGTATATATGCAAATATGATATATATAAAATGAAAGGATTTAAAAGCACGAATGTTTCTTTAATACATAATACAAACTTCTACTGCCCTTACTGCGATGAAAAAATATTATGAAATTTATGCCTAACTGGCCTTGTCTTTATTGTTTGCAGAAGAGCATTGCTCGATGCAAATATTTGAATGTAATTCTACTGTCCTATAAGCTTATATCCATAGTTTTCTTGAAAACCATTTCTGAGATTCCATCCTTCAGTGCTGCGTATATAAGCAGAATCGTCCAATACAGTATTAGAGCTCTGAAAAGCGGTCTGGTGGATTAAATTGGCAAAACCGCTGGGAGGGTTCACCACTGATGAGCCAAGCCCTCCTAATATATATTTTTTTCATCGCAGTAAGGGCAGTAGAAGTTTGTATTGTGTATTAAAAGAAACATTCATGCTTTTAAATCCTTTCATTTTATATATATAGATGGCGCGTTATTGCTTTGTGTCAAAATATGATATGCTCCAGGAAACGGGGTTACCTCGAGAGAGAGTATGTAAATATGAAAATTTGTAGCTTATATATATATTCTCAGGAATCTGAACAAGAACCAGGTAGCCTAGTGGACATGGCATCTGCCTGGTAAGCGGAACACTGTGGGTTCGATTTCCATCCCTGGTACTTTATTTTTCCCGTTTATCATTACTCTTCACTATTCATTCTTTCATACTTCATCCCTAAGGTTGGAAATAATCGTTATTTCTCCTTAAAATAAATTTAATTTTTCGTTCTTGCGGGATAATTTCAAAAATGTTGTTCTAAGGTTTAAATGCTTGGGAGTTACCAGGTTCTCTGAGGGCGGATGGACCAGGAAGCTGATCCACCTTGAGGTCCCCAATCTCCCCCATGGGCAATGCAGACTTGGCGATCTCTTCCTCATAGGCCAGCTGGACCTCTGGAGGAGCCTGGAGCTCTGGGATCTGGGAGAAGACTCTGGCATTGCCGTCACTGCACAGTGACATAGTCCTGTGTGAGATCATTGAGCTTTGTTGTAGTACAATTACCTCTCTGTAAAGCAGGGTGTCTTTTAGAGTGAGGTGACCTCTTAATGGAGAGTTGTTAATTAATAAAATATGTTAATTTTGGAGTTTGAAACTTGTCCTTTTTAGAGGTGTTCTCTTAAGGAAGTTGCTAATTAGCAAAAAATGGTAATTTTGGCAACTGTCCTTTATAGAGAGGTGTCCTCTTAACTGAGTTGCTAATTACTAAAATATGCAGGTTAATAAATGAAGATTAATTGGTATCAGCTATAACACATGGCTAATTAGTGGAACCTTATCTCTGTAATATTTCATTGGGCTGTTTTGCTTTTATACTGATACTGAAGCAAAACAGCCCAATACAATATTATGGTAGATTAAACTGATACTGAATACTGATACTGAAGCAAAACAGCCCAATACAATAGTATGGTAGATTAAACTGGTGAAACTGTTTAAAGGGTTCACCATTGATGAGCCAGGTCATCCCATTAATTTATCATTGCACAGTAAGGGCAGTAGAAAATTATCTCGATTTCGTAAAGAATCATACGCATCTAAAATAGTTCCAATTTCTTATATCAGATTTCACGCTGATAAAGGCACAATTAGGATTATAGATTATAAACACAAGGTAATAAGACCAAATCCAAATAAATAAATAGTGTGTGACATTTGGGTAACAGCGTTATTACCGAAACGTCACACACTATTTATTCATTTGGATTTGGTCTTATTACCTTGGGTAGATTTCATGCCATAATGCATGATATTCTAATAGTTGTAAAAACAACAACAACAAGTATTACCTTGCTCCGACCACAATGTCCCCATTCTCCAGACAGGCCACAGACCAGAGGGTGGGTACAGGAAGTCTCAGGGTCTGCACACACTCCCCCTGGCTGCTCCACACCTTCAGGGAGTGGTCTTCCCCACAGGTCACAAAGCCCATCTCCCCCGGTATGGTGCAGATGGAGTAGACGTAGTTGTTGTGGCCAGCAATCACCCGCAGACAGGATCCTGTGGTCTGCCAATGGCGGATGGTGGTGTCGTTGGAGCAGGAGAGGAACTCCTGTGTGGACAGGGTGGCCAGGCCTCTCACACAGTCCTCGTGGCCTGCACCATGGAATCATTGCACAAGGGGATAAGAAACCTCATTTATACATTCTCACAAATTTATACTTTCGATTTTTATAAAAGAAACATTCGCGGTATAATTTCAATTTTCGTTTTACAATCATCAGCCGCGTTATATTGTATTTTAAATGTTACTTTAAGTATTAGTTACGAACGGAAAAATACGTCCAGGGTAGCCGAGTGGACAAGGCACCTGCCCGGTAAGCAGAAGGGTGTGGGTTCGATTCCCGCCCCTGGACACTTTTCATTTTTCCGTTCGCCATTACTCTTCATGTTTCACCTTTCCATACCTCATCCTCAAAGTTAGAAATGTCGCTATTTCTCTTTGAAAATAAATTTCGATTTTTATAAAAGAAACATTCGCGGTATAATTTCAATTCTCGTTTTACAATCATCAGCCGTGTTATATTGTATTTTAAATGATACTTTATTTATATACTCCACGCTGAAGAGCGCCAACAGCGCAAAACACGTTCGTGGATGGCTTTTCTTGATTTATCAAGAAATTGGGTTGGCCAAATATCACGGAGACAAGCTAAATAAACGTTTAGTTTATTTTTGCTCCACTAGATGGCGCTCTGCCATCTAAAAAGCACATGTGCTCGAGGTCAGGAGATGCCTTCTTTATTTTTAATACTTTATTATAGTGAGGGAAAAAATCAAAACATTCCTCGAAATGCCCCAAATGCGATTCTCAACCAGCCAGTCCTGAACATCTATTGAATTGTATCAAATCCTCCAAAAAAAGACCTCTGGGAAAAACCCCAGGACTATAATAGAAAAGCTTGAGACAATGGAACCTAATGGAGATCATTTAAACGACTTGAGGAATAAGCAACATTATAGTGAGGACTATGATATCACACATAAATGCCACCATAATGAGGCTGTAGAACAAATATTAAAACAACAGTATATAAACACTATAACATGGCTTGTTTCTATAACATCAATGTTGTTATACAAGAAAATAAGACCTAATCCAAATAATTTATTAGTGTGTGACATTTCGGTAACAGCATTGTTACCATCATTAGACAAAACAATAAATAAGAAAAAATGTCTGATGATGGTGACAATGCTGTTGGCGAAACGTCACACATTAATAAATTATTTGGATTAGGTCTTATTTTCTTTTATTATAATCTATAATCCAAATTGTGATTTATCATCAATGTTGTTATTTTGAACGTGAGACTTGGGAGAGGGTTGGTTGGCTGAGGTTTGGTATTAACTGTCAGTGTTTGACATCTGTGCTGGAGTGAATCCTACATTGGGCACTTTTTTATGAAAAATAAAAATTGCTTCAAGGGTCCCCCTAATTCTTTAAAAAAATCCAACCTTTCTCGTTAGTTCAAGTAACTAAATAGGGGCTTTGGCACACTTATAAGAGAAAGTTGAGGTCGTTTCGGATCCAAGGCCTCTAATCATTCTCTTTACCACATGAGACCAATTTAATGAGCACCAGTTATCCTGTGAGAAAGTTATTTCTATATGTGTAGACACATGTATTGCACTTACAGTAAAAGCATCATGATTTTTTTTTATGATTATCTCTAGTACATGGGCCCATATATAAGGCCATGATAATATTTTTAATTATTATTATCCATAATACATGTTGTATAGGCCATACTAATCATTGTGGGTAGAAGTTGGCGAATGCTTTTACTGTAAGTGCACCACATGTCTACATATGTGAAAAGCAGTTTGATTTTTTGCACTTACAAGTGTGCAAAGAACCCAGTTTGGTTACTTGCACTAGCTGGTTAGGTTGGACTTTTGCAAAAACAGTGCCATTATAGCATTTTTTTTTTTTATTTAGAAAATAAGTGTCCAATGCAGGAAGTCAATCCCAGGTCGTAGTGGTCAAAAACCAATATTTTAGACACTCATCCACCATGAATAATCATGGTGGGTAGTTGTTAACGACTACTTTTACTGTAAGTACACCACATGTCAACACACGTAGAAAACAGTTAGAATTCCACACTCTGTATATCAGAACCCAGTTTGGTTACTTGCACTCGCTGGTGGGGGTTGTTAAGAACTGGTTACCATTTGAAGAAGTGCCTAATGCAGGATTCAGGTCATGGCTATAGAAAATTAATGGTTTACACCACTGGTCCATCAACCGACCCTTGAGATAGGTAAAACCAATGAAGGTTAGGAGAGATATGTAAACATCTCAATATATTGATGAGATTCAATATTAAAGCAACACAACTTTTCAAAAACATAAGGTAATAAGACCAAATCCAAATAAATAAATAGTGTTTGATACTCTGTAAACTTCCCTCGTTGCTTATCTCTTAGTTATCCTTCATAGTTTGTTCTTGCCTCAAATAAATTGCTGTGTCATCCTGAAGTTTGTCTTCCCTAATTTTCCACGTGGCAATATGATATGGCACAATTGGGATTATAGATTAGAAATACAAGGTAATAAGACCAAATCAAATAAATAGTGTGTGATGTTGTGGTAACAATGTTGTTACCATCATTAGACTAAATTATCATTATACATTCAGTACTTTTGTCTGATGATGGTAGCAAAGCTATTATTGGAAGGCCACACACTATTTATTTGTTTGGTCTTATCAGGCCACACAAGGAAAATATTATTTGAAGGCACAGACAAACACTTCCCTAACTACACCAAAATGTCTGGCTTGTGAAACATCCCCGAAGCACATCCTACAGTGCTGTGGTCTAAACAAACAAGATATCTTATGATGCACTAGCATGCCATCTGTTATGAAAATTAGAAACTATTTTAAACGCGTATGATTCTTTTTGAATTCAAACAATTTCTACTGCCCTTACTGCAATGGAAAAATTAATGGGAGGGCCTGGCTCATCAGTGGTGAACCCTCCCAATTTTTCCATTGCAGTAAGGGCAGTAGAAATTGTTTGAATTCAAAAAGAATCTTACGCGTTTAAAATAGTTTCTAATTTTCAAAACAAGATATCTACAAAATCCCCCAACAAGTCATCAATATATTAGGAGGTTTGTTGGTTTAAGTAATCAACTGATGGATTAGAAAAAAAAATCTTATCTTATTACCTTGTGAAGCACTTGATATAAATAGAACAATGTCCTAAAGATGATAGAGGAAGGCCTTGTGAAAAACTAGAGTTAGTAACAAGCATGTTTGGCCACTTTGTCAGACACTGGCTAAGTTGAGAATGGAGACCAATATCAGCAGACCTAGGTAGACAACTCACCGTAGAAGACACATTTACTACATCAATATACTAGAAAGCATGGTCTGTGTGAGTTGGTTTAAGCAATCAACTGATGGATTTAAAAAGAATCTGATCTTATTACTTGTGAATACCTTGTGATATAAATAGCACAATGTCCTAAAGATGATTGAGGAAGGTCTTGTAAAAAACTAGCAACAGTAACAAGCATGTTTAGTCATCTTGTCAGACACTGGATGCCAAATTCAGCAGACCTAGGTAGACAACTCACTGTAGAACACATGTTCACACTTATACTACATCAA